TCTTCCTTTATAGGTAAGGTAGGTTTTTTTCCTGTGTCTTCTTTCAGGATTTTTTCTTTATCATTGATTTTCTGTAGTTTGAAGATGATATGCCTAGGTGTAGATTTTTTGGTTTTTCTTTGTTTTTGCATTTATACTGTTTGGTGTTCTTTGAGCTTCCTGGATCTGTGGTTTGGTGTCTGATATTAACTTGGGGAAATTCTCAGTCACCAATGTTTCAATTGTTTCATCTATTTCTCTCTTTCTTTCTTCTCCTCCTGGTGTTCCCGTTACGTATATGTTACACTTTTTGTAGTTGTCCCATAGTCCTTAGATATTCTGTGCTTTTGTTGTTGTTATTATTCTCTTTGCTTTTCAGTTTTTGAAGTTTCTATTGATATAGCTTCAAGCTCAAAGATTCTTTCCTTAGCCGTGTCCAGTCTAATAAAAAGGCCATCAAAAGCATTCTTCATTTCTGTTCCAGATTTTTTAAAATCTCTATCATTTGTTTTGGTTCTTTCTGAGGATTTCCATCTCTTTGCTTACATTGCCCATCTGTTCTTACATGCTGTCTACTTTGTCCATTAGGGCCCTTAGCATATTAATAATAGTTTTTTTGAATTTCTGGTCTGATAATTCTGACATTCCTGTCATGTCTGATTCAGATGTTTGCCCTATCTCTTCATTTTTTTTTTTTTTTTGCCTTTGATTTCGTCTTATGACTTTTTGTGATAGCTGGGCATGTTGTACTGGGTAAAATTCACTGCTGTATATAGGGCTTTTGCGATGTCTTGGTGAATTTTGGGGGGAAGGACAGCATTCTATAGTCCTATGATTAGATTTCAGTCTTCTAGGGAGCTTATGCCTCTGAAATGTGAACCTCACAGGGTTATTTTCTCCCCCCTTAGGGGGGTTAGGATGCCTAGGGCGGCATGGAGTTGGGTATTTCCCTTCTTGCAGATCATTTAGGCTCTGATAATACCCCAGCAGGTGAGGCTCTAGTTAACTAGTTTCTCCTGAGTTCAGAGCTTGTTAAGAAGAACGGAGTGCTCTGATATATTTCAAAGTGGTTGTTCTTCCCTTCCCTCTGCCAGAGCATGAGGCGTTTTTTTTTTTTTCCTTATCTATTTACTGTGGTCAAGCTCCTGGAGGTAAATCTCACAATATCTTGAGGGATCTATATGACTTGGCCCTCTAGAGTTTTTAACTCTCAGCCTTGTTCTCACTGAGCCTCCAGCAATTCATCAGTTACAGTTCAGGTTTCCTACCCTGGCACTGGGTCCTGTGGCGGTTTCCCCTTGTGAGTCTCTGCTATGGCAAGCCACGACTCCCTGTACTCACCTGTCTGTCTTCCCAATCTTGGGGGCAGCTGTTTGCTCTGTGTCCTCCCCTTTCCTCCTACAAGAGGAGTTGTTGATTTTTCAGTCTGTTCAGCTTTTTATTCATTGTTAGGAGAGAGTGGTGACTGCTAAGCTCCTTATGTGAGAAATTGGAAACCAGAAGTCTCTGTTTAGTTTTTTAAGAAACTGCCAAGCTATTTTCCAAAGTGGCTGTACCATTTATCTTCCCACTACCATTGTGTAAATAATCCAAGTCTTCCACATCCTCACTGCCATTGATTGCTATAGAGTTTAGAGTCTACATCTTTAACATATCAAAGTATACCTTCAGAGGAGATGCTATTGCATATATAATATAAGAACCTTACAACAGTATACTTCAATTTATCCTCTCCCAGCTTTTGTACTATTGTTGTCATACATTTTACTTCTACATGTATGATAAATGCCAAAATACATTGTTTTTATTTTGTCTTTAGAAATTTGATTATACCCAAAGGGATATAAATAATGATGCCTTTATATATACCCATAAAATAATTGGTTTTAATACTCTCCATTTTTTTGTTTAGATCCAGGTTTCTATATGGTATTATTTTCTTTCTGCATAAAGGACTGTCTTTATAATTTCTTATAGTGTAGGTGTGCTAGTGATGAATTGTTTCAGCTTTTGAATGTCTGAAAAATCCTTTGTTTTGCCTTCATTTTTAAAAGATTTTGTTACTTTGGGTAAAGAATTCTATGTCAAGAAGTTTGTTTTCATTTTTTGGGGGGAGAGGGTTGTTGTTTCTTTCAGTACTAAAATGACATTGCTTTCTTGTAAGTTGCATTATTTTGAGAAGAGATCTGGTGCCATCCTTATTTTGTTCCTCTGCATGTAATATGCCCTCCTTTTCTGGCTGCTTTTAAAATTTTCTTTTTATAACCACTTTAAAGCAATTTGATTCCTATACGCCTTTGTGTAGTTTTCTTAATGTTTCCTGTGTTTGAATTTCCTTGTGTTTCTTGGATCTGTGGATGTATAGTTTTTAAACAATTTGGAAAAATTTTAGTCATTATATCTGCAGCTATATTTTCTGTCTTTTTCTCTCTCCTTCAGGGACTTTAATTACATCATATATTTTGCTACTCAGGATGCCCACAACTCACTCATATTCTGTTCATTTTTTCTCATCTTTTTATCATCTGTGTCATTTCTCAGTCAGTTTTAACAAACTGAATTTTTCCTCATTATGGGCCATATTTTCCTGCCTCTTTGCATATTTGGCAATGTTAGCTCCAGTGAAAGACATTATGAATTTTCTTGTGTGCTGGATATTTTTAAATTCCTAAAAATATTCTTGAGCTTTTTTCTGGGATGCAGTTTATTTCATTGGAATCAGTTTGTTCCTTTCAGGTCTTGATTTTAGGCTCTGTTGGTGGGACTAGAGCACCATTTAGTCCAGTCTCAATTTTTACCTAATACTAAAGCAAGACCCTTCTTAGTACTTTAACCTAGGATTAGCAAACTACAGCTTGAGGGCTAGAGTCTATTCTTGCAAATAATTTATAGAAACACAACCGTGCTCATTCATTTTTCTCTTTTCTCTGGATGTTTTTGTTCTGCAATGGCAAAGAGTTATAACTAAGTTATCACTAAGTCCATGTGGCCCACAAAGCCTGGCCCTTTAAGAAAAGGGGTGCCAGTTGCTACCCTCATGGACGCCTCATGAGTTATGAAGATTTCACTCTCTTGGGAACAAGCATTATCTGGCCTTAAGTTGTTCTTCCTCTGGCCTCAGGTAGTTGTCTCACACATATGTGATAATCAGTACTCCATAAGCAAATACTGGATTGAGACCCTCTACAGATCTCTGGAATTATTTCTGTGCAGGTCTCTCCTGTACAGAACATTGTCATGAAAATCCTTGCCACTGTAGCTTCCCTGGGATCCTATCTCTGTCTACTCAACTCAGGAAGACCCTGGGGCTTGGCTTGGTTTTTCCCCAAGCTAGCACTGTGGCTTATAATCTTTCTACAAGCAGAACGCCAGGGCAATAATAGGAATCACTTTATCGTTTCCCATCTCTCAGGGATCACTGTCCTTTGTCACCTGATGTTCAATATTCTGAAAACCATTGTTTTATATACTTTGTCCTTTTTTTCTTCAGTTGTTTCAAATGAAGAGTATAGTCCAATTCCCATTATTTGATCTCACCTGGAATGGAATGGCAAGAATTAATTTTTTTCATATAATAAGGTCAATATGAAAGTCAGAGAAAAACATGTAATAATTTAGAGAGATGAAAGGGTGTTTATATGCAAGTAATCTTTGCTAGGGTTAATTAAATGTAAGAAAGCTTTACTCAGATATTAGCATTGATGATGTTACATCAACAAAATTTTTTAACGTGCAATTTTAATCCAATAATTGAACCACCTTTAGGATATAGTCCAACACAGATCATCTTTTTTTTTTTTTTAATAAATATTTTCTTTTTACTGTCATTGCCCTCTAACCAAAGACTATTGGAAACACACTTGTAGCTGAGTCAATTAGTTTATTGCTCTTTAAAAGAAGGGAGAAAACACACAATGAGAAAGAATCTCAGTAAGAGGCTGTTGGAAAGAACGTACAGGATTTGAACTTGTGTTAGGTGACTTTGTGGAAGATTCAAGGAAGCAGGGCTTTACTTTAGATGTTGTCAGGAAGTGGAGACAATTCTACAACTGAGAATCTAATAAATATTATCTGTAAGGTAGGAGGAATAAATTGAGGCTAAAGATGTAACTGATGCAAAAGCAACAGTCACTCTTATTAGTCAGGATGGGGATGTTGGTTATTTTTGTGGCTTACATAATGATTATATTGTCTGTGTTCAGCTATGATTATGGAATGATTTTATTTTTGTTTGTTTTTTGTTTTTGTTGTTTGTTTTTTGAGGAAGATTAGCCCTGAGCTAACTGCTGCCAATCCTCCTCTTTTTGCTGAGGAAGCCTGGCCCTGAGCTCACATCATGCCCATCTTCCTCTACTTTATACGTGGAATGCCTACCACAGCATGGCTTGCCAAGTAGTGCCATGTCCGCACCCAGGGTCCCAACCTGCGAACCCCGGGCTGCTGAAGTGGAACGTGCGCACTTAACCGCTGCGCCACCGGGCTGGCCCTGGAATGATTTTATTTCAGTCTTACCTCATAGAGATCACAGAGTAGACTTGTCTGATGTTGGTGTTCTGTGAAAGTGTTTATGTTCAACAGAAGAAAACCAAGGCCCAGCTGTGAGTGCCAGGCCAACTCCCATATGTCAGGGGTTGCTTTTCCTTTTCTCATTGTCACTATATGAAAGGCAGAACAGTAGAGGGACAAGAATCCTGCACTGATATTCATAAGACTTGGATTACCATCACCTTCTGTCATTGATGTGCCCTTAAATACATAAACTAAAATTTCTGGGTCTTAGTGTTTAATTTAGCTCAGGTAAAATTTTTGGGTCTAGCTCTGTAAAATGAGAGGGTTAGATATGATGCTTTGTAAAGTTCTTCCCATTTCTCACATTCTATAAATGAGAATTTTGCTTTAAAGCTAACAGAATTCCATTCTGAAATGTTGAGTAAGAGGAAATCATCAGGGAGTTTTATTTATTATTTCTTTAGATATAAGCTCTATAGTAAGGATAAAGGTCTTATGCTCTGTTTATACTTTCCTGAATCTCTGGGAATAAATCCACGAACAAAGCTGTCTCTTATTTCATCCTTCCCAACAATGCCAATAATGATACTTCCATTTTATTGAGTGACTCTGAAAATAAGAAAATTTACTTTATTTCCTTTTAATAGGAAAGATGATGTATTACAAATAATTCTTTCCATTCCCTTCCTTCCTGTACTATCTCAAATCAATATGTTTTATGGGAAATATTTTATTTAGCATATTTTATGGCTGAGTTTATAATAAGACAGAAAATCTTCAGAATTTGAGGATTATATTCATCATTAAGGTCCATGTTTTTGTCTTTCTCTTACGTGTAACTACTCGTTGCTGATAGTGCCTCACATTTTTGCAATTAATCCTTTTAAAATATTTCACACCTAGGTCATCCAAAAGGAGAATAGGCATTTTATTTGTTTGTTTTTGCCTTGTCTGTCCACGAAAGTTCTGCTGTCTGTCGAAAGTTCATTGGTTATCTCTTATGTCTTTCCTAACTGATACTTTCCTATGTTATGGTCTGAAATATTTTTAGCAGCCAACATGTCTTTACGTGTGTTACGGTCTTCTTTGCATGGTCCTCTAAATACACAGTCTGAGATGCAAGTCAGATTATGTTTCCTCTACCATGTGTAAATCCTTTATAAATGGCTCAATCAGTGACTAGAGCAACGTGTTACCTGCCTGCCTGGTGTAAGAGCCTTTCCAAGTTGACAGATGGCCCTGCTTCATCTCTCTGCTCCCGGGACAGTTTCTAGGAGAATCGTAGGCTGGGTGTTCACAGAGACAGTGAGGATTTGGCCTGGTAGGTAACCAGTGACATTCTGCTTAGATTTATCTTTTTTCTTTTAACTTATGAAAACTGTCAAAAAAGGGGATAGAAGTTTCACTTAAAATTCTTTGATGAAAGAAACACAGCAGCATGTGATAAATTGGTTACAAATATATTAGAAAAGGAAATATAAAGTTTAGCATTTGATTTATTGTGTAAAAGTTTTTGCTAATTTTTCAGCACCTCTGTTTTAGCCAGCCTCTTTTATAGGATAAGTTAGCAATAAAGCAGAATTTGAGGATTATATAAACATAGAAGATTTATACGAGATGTGGTGGCATTTATCTTTTGGAATTTATGGTCTGCTTCCTGGAAAAATCCTTCTGTATTGTTTTTAGCCTCAAGTGCATTATCAGCTCATGAGTGATCCTGGCATTACAAGGAATCAAAGATGCACATGAAAGTCCCTTCAAAGAGCTAACCATATAGCTGGAGAGAGAAAATGTCAAACATGAAAAATTATAAAAACTACAACTTTTCTAAAAGGAAACGACCATATAGGCAACATCATGTTTACAATAATATATGGATTTTCTGAGATAATCCCCCTTCATGGAATTTTATTCTTTTCTTAAAGTGACATAGTATGTGTAGAATTCAATGTCTATATCTTTGCCACAATTTCGATAAAAATCAGGGGAAAAAAATCTGAGCATGTGACTGGCTTCTCCATTTTAGAACGTGATCACACACACACACAAACATACACACTCAAAGTCATAATTAAAGATAAACATACTCATATATAAATGATTTCATAGAAAATGGTGAGATTTGAAGCACATTTTAAATAGTGAAGAAAATTAAAGTAGGAAGGTGAGAACAGAGAGCTTTTGAAGGAGAAGAACTAAATAGATGAAGGCACAGAATGAGGAGACTTTGTCCTAAATATGGAGGATGGTGAGAAGACAAGTCTAGAAGGAGCAAGGGTGTGTGAGGGAGAAACCAGAAGTGAAGTTTTGTAGGTGATACAGTGTTGGTGTTTGGAGTGCCTTCAAAGCTGAGTTTTAATTTTACAAGATAAGTATTACCTTGTCATGTTTTTCATTATCAGAATGTTTTTACTATGAGGAAAAAAGTTTTTCCTCATCTGCTGGAGGAAATGTGGATTGTATGAATTTCAATATACAAGCTAGGAGCCAGCATAGCAAAGTAGGCGCAGGAGAAAATTTTGAATTTGAGAATTTTAGTTTAAGTTATCAGGAGAAATTTACTTAAGTACTCTAAGTCTCAACTTTCTTTTCTGTGAAATCTGGGTTACAGTAATAATGCTGCCTTCTTATGGTATAATGTTCAAATAAAAGAATACATGTGAAACTAACTCATAAAGTTATAACAATATTTATTCTGCATAGTTATTTACTTTTCAATTAAAAACACTAAAAACCTAAGTATGATTTGATAAGGGCCTGGACAGTGGAGGTGACATACAAAACAAATGGTTGGATCTGTAGAAATATCATTTTTCTTTGTCATGGTGTATAACTTCCAGCTTCTTTCCAATTCTTTCACGGTTTTGGTCAAATAGAGCTGCTCCCAGCTGCACACTGGCTTAGTGATCTACAGCTGTTGAAAACCGTCAGGCCAAAGCTTTACCACTCTCTTTAACTGCAGTTTAGGGAGGCATTAGATGTAATGGGAGGATCTGGTGACTGAAGGGCATCAGGGAGAGAGAAGCATCAAAACCAGCTCTTTTCTTATTTATAATTCCAGAATGATGCTGCTATTGAAGGAAAATCATGTTGTAGGACAGAGAAGCAGTTTGTGTGGTAAAAATGAAGGAGTTCATTTTTGAACAAGATGTGCTCGACTTGGGACATACTGAGAGTTTTGTTGCTAGTGGCCGTCTAAGTGAAGACCATCTGTAGTTCATTCCACATATAGCCTTATCGTGAAATAGAGTGGGCTGGCCTGTGCACAGATTTTGAAGGAAGACAAAGAAGAGTAAAAGGGAGACAGGAAGGGATATCGAGAGTGGTAAAAACTAAAACGAAACAAGAAATGCAATCTTAAAGAAAGGAAGTTTTAAAAAGAGAAAATGGTCAAGGTAACATTGTTCAAGGAAAATGCGGACTGAGCATATCTGGTTAGAAAAATTTCATTTTAAAAGAGCAGTTTCAATCTTCAGAAGAGGACTGGGAACTGAAGATTCCCAAAAGTTCCAAGGAAAACAGAATGGACAACACTAGGATGGCTCAATGTGAAGAAAAATTGGCCCAGGAATGTGAGGAAACGGGGAAATCTGTGTGGCAAGGCGGAGAGCTTCTTCTCCATGTGTGTTGTGTCATGTGTTTTGTGTGGGAAAGGCAATAGTGATTGAGGGTCTCAGTCAAAACTAAGTTGGGTACTTGATAGAGGAACTTGGAGAGAGAAAATAGGTAGGGATAACGATTTTAGGAACAGTTCAGTGGCTGTTTGCATGCTGTGAAGTCAAAAGCTATGATTCTCAGCAGAGAGAGGGCCCTGCCCCCTTAAGGAAATGGGTCAGTATCTCAGAAGCAGTTTTTCAGCTCCCAGAGTTTCTATAATGGTCCCTGAACACCGTGCGCACCGCAATAGAAAAACCACTTTATATAGTTTTTTAAAATGTTCGTGGGAAAAATATGGTGCCTATGAAGCATATAGAGGCTTAAAAAGTTTTGAGAAACCACTAGAAGGTCAGCAAGTTTAAAAATCTGTGAGATGAAGTCCATGAACAGACATTGACATGGAAATTTTTGTGTAGAAAGGCGATACGATACAGCAAAGGAGTTCTGAGATTAGAAAGATCTGGGGGACCAGCCCCGTGGCCAAGTGGTTAAGTCCGCATGCTCTGCTGCAGGCAGCTCAGTGTTTCATCGGTTCGAATCCTGGGCACGGACATGGCACCACTCATCAAGCCACGCTGAGGCAGCGTCCCACATGCCACAACTAGAAGGACCCACAACAAAGAATATACAACTATGTACTGGGGGGCTTTGGGGAGAAAAAGGAAAAGAATAAAATCTTTAAAAAAAAAAAAAAAAGAAAGATCTGGATTGAATTCTTCATTTGGAACATATCCCAAAATCTACTTATTTCTTCACCCCTTAAAGGAGATAGTGATATCTGCCTTTATAACGAGAGTTTTCTGAGGATTTAATAAGACAATATATGTCAAAATGCATGTGCATGCTAAAGCATGGTACAAATTAAAATATTAGAATTTTTTTTATTATTGTAGTTGTCATTATCTAGATGATAGCAGATGAAAGACTCAAGTCAAATTTGAAGACCTTGGTATTTTAAAAGTAATTTACCTGAAGAAGACAGTAATGGACTCAACAACTAGAATTAAAATGAAGACATAAGGATTTGGAGAAGACATAAGGATTATTAGTCAGGAAGTTCTATTTTGGACCAAGCAACAGACTTATTCTCCCTGCCACTGAGCAGAGAGATGAAAGCTGACATTCATTGGCAAAGACTTTCTGGTCTATAATATTTTCAGGAATGAGCCACATTTGCGTCAGAGCACACAACTAGAGATAAAAGGAGAGTTAAGACATAATAATAAGAAGTATATATTCTTTTACATATATTACTATATTTGATGTATTAAAATACTGTTGAGTAATACTGCTGTTATCCCCATTTTACACATGAGGAAACTGATGGCAAAGATATTAAATCTTGGTCCCAGTTTGTCACACAGAAGTATATGTTAGTTCTCTAATTCCAGTCTCATTTGCTTAGGAAAAATAACCTATGGTCTTTCCAATATTCCTCTGGAGACTTAAATTTTAGATGAGATTGCATTTACATGGATTTCAGTTTTTTCTTTTGTAACTGAGCTGAAAAGGGCTGCTTTTTGGTGGAGGCAGATGAAAGCTCCCAGGAGCGCTTTCTCTTGGAGGGGACAAGTGCCTTTCCCTTATTTCTTTCATTTGAGAAATGTCTGAAGCAACAGTTGCAGTCGACTGAAAAGCTACTGGAATTTGAAAACTTGACTTTTTCTTTCTTTCTTTCCTTTATTTATTTATTTATTTTTTTAAAACAACTACTTGACCCTCTTTGGGAATCTGTGGGCCAAACACCCAGTGTCGTAACCCCTTCCTCCGTCCTGCTGAGCTGACAGTGCATTGTTGCTGTGTGGATTTTGTGAAGCTGTGTGTGAAGTCTCTGCCTCATTGCAGCAGGACTGCACTCTCCCACCGATGTGTGGAGTAAGCTGTGGTGTAGTTTTTTGAGCACAGAATAAACATGTTGCAGCAGAAAAAAAAATGAATCAAAAATTCTACAGGGTAGAGCTGAGATTCTTGAATACTTCTGTGGCTTTTTTAAAGTTATTTTGCTTCAAATGTGTGTTTAATCCAACTCTGGATTTATTTGAACACATGAGATTTTCCTATGCTCAGGACATCTTGATAATTTGCGGCAGCTGGTCAGTATATCACTTTCTTTCTCCTTAAATTGTTCTTGATTGGATGTACTAAATATACTGTTGAGTCCTGCTGCTGGGCTCTGGAAGTAAGAGTCAAGGAAGGAAGAATAGTGGCAGGATCTCTCTCTTCTATCTGTATATTTGATAATAATAATTGTGATATTTTTAAACAGAATATCCCTAAGGCATAAAAAAATTCATTTAAACTTTAGAGAATTCTTCATATTTGAAAAGGAGTCTAAGGAAAAAAGTTCAATATCCAGACAACTTCCTAGACTGAAATAAGAGATTGAATGAAAAGACAATACTAGGTAATAGAATAATATATATTAAAATATGTTCTCTCAGTGACCAAATGAGTTGTGTAGACAGATTTCATAAGTTCTTATACAAAAGAATTAAATCTGGGCTTCTATGTGTTATTTGAATCATTTGGTAACCAATTCAATTAAGATGAAAACATTTCAAAACATTTTTAGTTCTAATTAAAAAATCCTGTTCTCTTAAAGATTTTAGATACATTTATGTCATCACCAATATTACTTAAACAGTTTTATTATATATTCACTTCATATTTACTCGATAGCAGATCTACCAGGAATTTCCATAATTGAGTTTTTACTTGCAA